TGGCTATCGATTGCTCCAACTTTGTTTAATGATAAACTCAAACTATTAACAAAAAATTGAATTTGAACAAATTTATACCAAATTGGTTTCAATATTGATATTGAAAATAAATGAGTAACTATCTAGGCTGAGCCGGATATATTAGGTAATTACGATTGATTATTGAATTATATCATTGAATTTGATTCAAATTTATTGCTATTTGTGTGCCTTTTATAATGTCAAAAACAAATGGAACATCCGAATTCAACCTATTAATTTATTTAAAACTACAAACCTTTTTTCAAGAATTCATTCATATTAGAGCTGAAAATTGTAAATTCAATTGAACGCTCTAGAATAAAAACAACGTACAGAATGGTTGTTATATCAAAGCGGAACATGGCGTTTTTTTATATATATAGAATTGTTGTTGTATTACAATATGGCCAGTACGTTGTTTTTATTCTAGAGCATTCAATTCTAATTTCGTATTATTTCTCAAGGTTCAGCCAAAAGGCATATGTATCAAAAAACGAGTTGATATTATAAGTTGAACACAATCGGTAATAATTTGTTGGTGTTTATATTTGAAAAATGATAAATTTTATTGGAGGAAAAGTACAAATTCAGGCACAATAATGTCTTAATAAAATCACGAAATATTTAAATTATGATTTCAAGTTCTTTTAGTATTTGGCCAAACGATTGACTCGATCCAATCTAAATAGAATGCGACTCTCGTGTAAATGCCGGGCAATGCTGTGCCGCAACTAAAACCATATGAAACGATACCAACGACAGTAGAAACGCTTGAATTTGTTGTGAAAAAATATTGAAGTGGGGCACCACTGTCCCCTTGACAACTATCATTTCGTCCCGTTGGGTCGTATGCACAGTACTGCCCTTGACTGATGCCATCTTGAAGGGCGGCTTGATTTGCCTGTAAATTAAAATTCGAAAGTTTTCGTCCACATTCGGAATATGTCATCGTTGTCAATTGTGTCTTCAGAAGAATATCTGATCGAACGCCACCTAAATATGTGCAATTAATCAGATTGGATAGATACACCTGTAGATCATATGAATCGTTGCGGCGAAACAGTAGCTCTTATTTTTCTCCAAATAATACTGCAACATGAAGTTTTTTTCACACGGTTTATTTGTTGTAATACAACATATAAACTATTCATAAAAAACTTTATGTTGCAGTATTATTTGGAGAAAAATAAGAGCTACTCTTTCACCGCAACGATTCATATCTTACGTTCGACTACAGTAACACCCCATCCGGTTACCAGTAACTTTTAACCACATTTGAATTCATATCACTTAAATCCATTTGCAAACATGCCGGTGTAATATCTGGTGTGGAAAATATACGTTTTCCTAATCGTAATAACGCAATATCGTTTCTCATACTTAGTGTTGAATAATTCGGATGCCGAATTACGTCCTGTTTAAGCCAATACATTTAAAAAAATTAATTTAAAGAAAATATAAGAAAATTCAAATTGTTACTCGAATTGGATGATTCGTAGCTTTGATATCATCCTCAGCATCGATGAGAGTTGGCTATTGTTTTGGGAATGGTAAAATTAGCGATATACTAAATAATATTTGGTATTTCATTTCTTACTTTGCCCAATCGCACTACAACCGGTGGTCGTGACGCTAGAGCACAGTGCGCAGCCGTCATTACATAAAATTCAGATATAACAGTGCCTCCGCAGTCAAAAGTCACTTTTAATTCTCGATTTAAATAACCCAAAGCCGCCTGAAAAATGAGAAATATTTTTGCAAAGTGAAACTGAATATAAATTTCAAGGGCATACCATCCACGGGAAATCAGCTGTTGGCGTACCTCCCAAAATTCGATCTATTGGCAACTGTAAGTACACTTCACAAGCTGCGATTTTCATTGACAAAAAAAAAACAGGGTTGAATCAACAATTGAAAAGAATTTAATAACTACTAATAAGAATACCTTTTTGAGCTGTCCGCTTTCGTACTGATACTATCCATTCCACATTTTTTAAGCAATCTGCAGGCACAATTTACTTATAACATATAATACTGTTGACTTTTCTATAACATTTCTTATTGACTCACCTACATTTTGAACGGTACATAATACATAAACCGGATAATAATGTAATAAAAGAAGAGTTCTGCGGAAGAGGGGCGTGTGGCGGAGGAAATGGTATTTTTCCCGTTTGAATTAACGTTTCAATGCTTGTCACTGCATCACCCCCATTTTTGTTAAATTGGGAAACTTTACACAATTATTGTATTTTCGAGTTGCAAAAAACGAAATTCATTGAAATAAAAAAAAAATCACATTTACCAGTTAAAACTACATTGTAAAGAATTAGCACCATCAAAACCAAAATCTTCATTAAAAATTCAGTCATGATCCGCAAAAAAAGTGCTCTTTGTATAAATTTTACTTATTGCTTATCTCTTGACTTATTCTAAGTTAGAAGTTTAAACACATAAAATAGACTGCAATATGGTAAAAATAATAAAACAATTCACAAATTGCAATTTTTTTTAAATATTCATTCAAAACAAAAATACGTGTTATTTCAATGCGA